ACAAGCCAGGATGCCATTGGCCTTCTTGGACACCTGGGCACACTGCTGGCTCCTGTTCAGGTGGCTGTCAATCAGCACCCCCAGGTCCCTCTCTGACTGGCAGCTCTCCAGCCACTCCTCCCCAAGCCTGTAGCGCTGCTGGGGGTTGTTGTGGCCGAAGTGGAGCAGCCGGCATTTGGCCTTAAATTTGTTATTAAAAGACTGAGGCAAAGAAGGCATTAAGGACCTCAGCGTTTTCCTCATTACTTGTTGCCATGTTTCCTGCTGCGTCTAGCAGGGTATAAAGGATCTCTCTGGTCTTTCTTTTGCTACTGACATATTTATAGAAACATTTCTTGTTGTCCTTGATTACTGAAAGCAGATTAATTTCCAGCTGGGCTTTAGCCCTCCTGATTTCCACCCTGCATAGCCTCACAGCCTCTCTATAATCACTGTGTGTGGCTAACCCCTTCTTCCAAAAGCTGTAAACTCCCCTTTTCTCCCTGAGTTGCAGCCAAAGCTCCCTCTTCAGCCAGCAAGGTCTTCTCTGCTGCCTGCTTCTCTTAGAGCACCTGGGGACCGCCTGCTCCTGAACCATTAACACTTCCTTCTTAAAGAGTGCCCAGCCTTCCTGGGCCCCTGTACCCTTCAGGATCATATCACAAGGGATCCTTTCAAGCAGGCCTAAACAAGACAAAGTCAGCCCTTTGTAAGTCCAGGAGAAGATCCAGCAGGCCACCTTCTCTGGTCGGTTCACTCACCAGCTGTGTCAGGAAGTTATCTGCCACACATTCCAGGAATCTCCAGGACTGCTGTGTTATATTTCCAGCAGATAACTTGGAAGTTCAAGTCTCCCACAAGAACAAATGCCAGCGATCGTGAGATTTCTCCTAAGCGCCTATAGAATGTTTCATCCACCTCTCTGTCCTGATTTGTCATCTCTTGCACACAACATTGTATCAAATAAACTTAGACCCCCCAGGGCTGACTGCTGTTTGGAAGGTGGGGGAGAGTGATGGGGAGGGGGGTGTATGTATATGTATACACACTTCTTTGCTGATTTGTTCCCATTCATGCAAACATAAGATGACCAGCATACTTACTGCAAGCCTATGGAGCACTTTAATATTTCACTGTGCCTGAAGAGGACTCTAATCACTTTTTTCTCTTTATAGTCCTCGTTAAGTTGCATCTCGCTCCATTTTACTGATTTTTTTTTCCCACTGTCGTATGTTACAGAAGGCCAGATGTTTGACTGTTGCTGAATTCTACTTCCTCGCTGCAGCTGAGCAGTGTATACAAATTTTGAAGGACTTGCATAAGATCTTTCAGAAAAGGTGTAAGAAAAATATAAATATTTATAACCAAGTTCTGCATTGCTAGTGACCACTAATTTTATATCCGTCTAAAGCAACATCAAAATAAGACTAACTTATTTTTATTCATCTAAATGCTTTCTTACCTCCTGTGTCATGCTATATAGTACAAGAGCCCACACCGCACACAACTAGACTGAACTC